CAAGTTAGCAAAGATTTTTCAAAAGATGATATTATGTTGGTGAGAACTGGAGGTTCTGGCTAAGCATCAAGCCTACACAAACACACACACACACACAGACACACACACACACAAAATGCTAAACAGATAAGCAGACAAAAGCCAGGCATAAGGATGTACATCAGTTACAATAGTAAAATATGGGAAATAACATAAAAATCTAAAAATAAAACAATGGCTAAGTAAATTAAGATGTCCATACATTGAATTACTTTCCAGTTACTAATTGTATTAAAAATACCAAAACTGGCTTTAAATACCAGTTTTAATTTCTTGGGAAACGCCAACAAAGTAATGCTAATTTTTAAAAAAGTATGAAATTTTACAATATGATTCTACTTATTTAAAAAAATAGTACACATTATGCGTAATGGGGTAAACTACCTTGTAACTTCAATAGCAATTCTCTGGGCATTGGGATAATTATAAGTTCTTAGTATATGCCAGGCATATGTTCAGCACCTTATATACACTGCATTACCTTTATGCTTACAAACATCTTAGGAGGTGGGTCTTTATCCCTGTTGAATATCCGAAGAAACTGAGACTCAGAACAGGTGAGTAACATGACCACCCTGAGAAAGCTCTTACATGGAGAAGCCAGGACATAAGCTAAGGTCAGCTTGACCCAAAGTTCCTATTCATCATATCCATGTAATCTTAATTTTCTGTTTCATATATTTTTACGTGCTCTAGGGGATCTAAAATAAGCATTTAGCGCATTTATAATTTGTAAACAAATCAAGAATACAAATGTTATATTAATAGTACGCATATTCACAGAGCGACAATTCTAAAAATGGCTTCCTTCAAAGATGTTGGACCATGAATAGGATCTTTAGGATCTCAAACTAGTGTACTTAGTAATGAGCATGAGCACTCCTTTTAATAAATGTAATCCCAAAGGCTTTCATGAGCCACATCAATTCTGCAACATTTATTCATTTAAGAAATACTTATTTAACACCTGTCTCTTGCCAGATATTGTGCTAGATGTTGGCACAATAGCAGGAGAACCAGTCTAAATGACTTTCTTTGGATAGTAGGAAAGCCTTTGGGGGATAAGTGGAGAGGGAAAGAGACAGGGAAGATAAGACTGTCAGTCTAACACTGAAAGTCCTGGCTACATACATCTAAGGACTTTTTTTTAAACTTTCCATGAAAACTTATAATATTTCTGAGGATCCAGGACAACGCCCTGTTAATGTCATACAATTTGAAACCTCTACAATGCATTCATACTTTTACTCTAATTATACTAGTCAGATGAACTAAAATGCTTTTACACATCACATAGTATTATTCTCCTGCACAGGCTATACATTTGCTTTCCTGGGTGGTACAATATTTTCATTGTTAAGTAAGCAAAGCTGGACTATCAGAAAAAGGATTCTTAGCAGAAATGCAGTTGGATGGATTTCCATTCCTCTTGGCTCCATATCTCTTTGTCCATGCCCACCTTCCACTTTTCCAGAAAAGCTCATGTCTTTCAGCAAATGACTTCTAACACGAAGGCCATTGTCTCTACAACTGTAGATTAACAGGTAAATGCTTTCTTACTTTTTAGCTTATGAGTCAACCAAAATTTTTATCAATTTAGATTTAGATCATTTACTTTTACTTGGCTGTTATAATAAGATCAAATAAGTTAGAATACATATTATAAATAAATATATATTTCTCTTTGTCTACAAAGTCCCAGGCCCTAGTGTTAGGAAATGTTAAGGAATATTACTATTAAGAAAAAGTATAAGAAGTCCATATGGATGACAGTGACTTAGACTTTCAATATTGAGTTCAAATAAATTTGGACCTTGTAGGGAGACCCTAAAAGCAGAGAGATATCTATTTGAGAAGGAAAACCTGGAATGCCTTAGAATTGAACACAGACAGCAAATTAACTCTCCTTGTTAATTCTCTTCCATTTGGACTAAACACCAAGGAATCATTGAGAAACCAGAGCAAAAAAACATCTAAGTTGGTATAATAGATACCTTAGGTTGTTTGTAAATTAGGTGGTTTTCTTCATCTTTCAGACCACAAATTTAGGAGGAAGGATGAGTGCTCATAGTTCTGAGATCAGAGTCACTGCCATGGAGATTCATCTTATTTAATAAATTATACCATCCAATCTTCTCATAATAATAAACACTTGTTCTATCATCTCGGAATATCATAAACTACCCTCCCATGGTTTCTCTAAATATAGTTTTTTTAAGATTATAAAAATACTCAGTAAATCTACTCTCCCGTGAGTGTGCTAATTACTGTTTTAGTTCACGCTAACAGAAGAAATGGCTTAATAACAGTAACTTAACTGGAGGAGATCAAATTGCTCATTCACTTAAACTAATGAGTACAAATCACCTTTGCATTTGATATTAGTGCTATAATGTATATTTCACGGGTACCTGCTACTATTACTACAAAAGTCTTTAGAAACAAATACAATTTAAAGTGTTTCAGTTTTCAAAATTATTTAATACACTTAGTGTCTGGGAGCTATGCGACCAGGAGGAAAACATTATTTTCTACTACAACGGTAAAAACTGTTCCTCGTATTTCCAATTAAATGATTTCAGAAGGATTCATTACCCGGAAAACCGGTATGTATGAACGCCGGAAATGCAGATAACATCCAGTCTCAGAATGTTTATTCTAAATGGGAACCAAACTATAAGATTTCTATTATTTATGATAGCCTTCCCATGATGGAAATCATCTCCCTGTAAAATAATCTAACAGGAAGAAAGAAAGAAAGAGAGAAAGAGAGAAAGAAAAGAAAGAGAGAAAGGAAGGAGAGAAGGGAAGGAAGGGAAGGAAGGGAAGGGAAGGGAAGGAAGGAAGGAAAGAAAAGAAAGAAAGAAAGGAAAGAAAGAAAAGAAAGAAAAGGAAAGAAAGAAAGAAAGAGAAAGAAGGAAGGAAGGAAGGAAGGAAGGAAGGAAGAAAGAAAGAAAGAAAGAAAGAAAGAAAGAAAGAAAGAAAGGAAAGAAAGAAAGAAAAGAAAGAAAAGGAAAGAGAGAAAGAAAGAAAGAAGGAAGGAAGGAAGGAAGGAAGGAAGGAAGGAAGAAAGAAAGAAAGAAAGAAAAGAAAGAAAGAAAGAGAAAGAAAAGAAAGAAAAGGAAAGAAAGAAAGAAAGAAAGAGAAAGAAAGAAAGAAGGAAGGAAGGAAGGAAGGAAGGAAGGAAGGAAGAAAGAAAGAAAAGAAAGAAAGAAAGAAAGAAAGAGAAAGAAAAGAAAGAAAGAAAGAAAGAAAGAGAAAGAAAGAAAGGAAAGAAAGAAAGAAAAGAAAGAAAAGGAAAGAAAGAAAGAAAGAAAGAGAAAGAAAGAAAGAAAGAAGGAAGGAAGGAAGGAAGGAAGGAAGGAAGAAAGAAAGAAAGAAAAGAAAGAAAGAAAGAAAGAAAGAGAAAGAAAAGAAAGAAAAGGAAAGAAAGAAAGAGAAAGAAAGAAAGAAGGAAGGAAGGAAGGAAGGAAGGAAGGAAGGAAGAAAGAAAGAAAAGAAAGAAAGAAAGAAAGAAAGAGAAAGAAAAGAAAGAAAGAAAGAAAGAGAAAGAAAGAAAGAAAGAAAGAAAGAAAGAAAGAAAGAAAGAAAGAAAGAAAAGAAAAAAAAAAAGAAAAAGAAAGAAAGAAACAACTATGGGAAGCTTTCAAAGTTCTCCAGACAAACCTTCCAGAGACTCTTTTAAAGGAGGAGCCATTTATCGAAGGGTCAGGGAGGTTAGGAAAACTATGCCAGCAGCCAGGGTCAGTCTTCCTGGAGCGACTAAGATTGTCCCAGGTGAGCAGTGTCCCGGGCTCCGGGTGGAGGCGGAGGACGCAGGGCGGGTCCCCGCACGGCGGGCATCTTTTTGGCCAGGCGACCCCTTCTCAGTCTCCAGGAGCCCAGCGACACCCGAGGCTGGCGCGGGCTGCCCGGGACGCGCCGCCAACAGCCTCCCGCTCGCGAGGAGCATCTCCCCATCCGCGGCTTCCGAGGCCAGCTCTGTCCCTCCGCCATCCTCAAGTCCTCCGACATTTTTCACGGAGACAGGGAGGTAGGGAGAAGAGGAAACGGCCGAGTGTCTGCATCCAGACTCCGCCGCAGCACAAGAGGAGGAGAGGAGGAAGGAGGCTGGCGAAGAGGAAGCTATTAAACCGTGATTCCATCCATAATAAAAAGAATCACCATCACCCCCAGCAGGGGAGTCCCGGATACACCCGCCGGGGCAGTGGCTAAGGGGGTTGGTGGGCGTTCCTCCTCCTGGTCCCCCCGGTGGCTGTGAAACCTACCCTAAACCGAGCACACAAAAACTCCCTTTCCTACGACTAACGGGAGGGGAGGAACAAAAGAGACCCCCACGCCCTACACACACACACACTCAGAGAGCTCACCGATGCTCCAGGTATGCATTTTGCAATCCCTTTGACTTACACATACCCCACCTGGTTGGTGCATTTAACTAAAGGTAATGAAAGAAAAAAAAAAAAATACCACCCCGAGGTGATCGGTGGATTGGGCACCGTTAATTTCACATTCGGGTTTCTAACAAACCACCACGAAAATCCCGCAGGACCCCGCGCCCCCGCGGGGTCCCTGCCGCCCCCGGCCCTCTCTGCCGGTTCCCCGAAGGCGCCCAGGTCGCCGCTGCAGACCCGACCGAGGGCTCCCCGGGCGGGCAGGACACTCGCCCAGCCTCTCCGCGGCAGCTGGAGGGCGGCGAGCGGACCGCGCGGTGGCAGCAACGCGGGATTCAACTTCCCAAACCTGCGGCGCGGCCCCCGCTCCCTCCCGCGGCGCCGCAGCGGGCGCCAGGACCCCCGCGCCCGCCGCCACCTCCGCCTGGGCTCCGGCGTTGCACTCTCCGCCCCCTCTTTCCTTCACCTCCCCCAGCCACCACCTTTTCAAAATTCACCCACCGGTGCAAAGCAGACATTTTGATGTCATTTACTTAGCACCGCTCGGTTTCAGAGGCAACATCTTACCCAGTCGCCTGGAGGTGTGGGCAGCGCACCGATGGGTCCGGGGGCGCGAGGCTGGGCTGCTCGGTCCTCTAGCGGAGCGGGTTTGCTGCCATCCGCCCAACTTCAGCACCCAGCGGGCGAGGAGAGAGGGAGAGAGGCTAGGATGGAGGGGAGAGGGGAAGGGGAGGAGGGAGGGTGGGCGGGGAGGGAGCGGGAGCCGCTCGGCAGCGCGCATGCGTTCCGCGGGCGGGCGCAGCCCCTCGCCCGGCTCGGCCCGAGGTGCCGCTGCTTCCCCCGGCGCGCGGCCGCGTGAGTCACGGCCCCGCCCCTGCCGGCGGCCCGGCCCCCGCGCGCCCGCCTCGGCTCGGCGCCCACGGTGCGGGGGCCTCCCGCGGAGCTTCGCGGGGAGCCTCGGGGACCTGGGAGCCTTCCTTGATGGGAGAGGCTCTGGCGGCTGGGCTCCCCCAGCTTCACGTTCGCCCGCAGCCCGCGTTATTTTCTCGTGCGCTCGAGGAGACTGCTGGAACCCAGAAGCTTGTCTTTAAAGGGGGGTGGGGGGGTGGGGGGGTGGGGGGGCTGGGGAGGAGCTGCCGCAGCGCGCTTCCAGGGAAGCAGTTCCTGCGTGGGGCGTCAAGGGACGGGAGTTAAGCAAGTTTTGTTCACCAAAGGACTCGACCGTACGAAGAGTTCTTCACTTTATTGACGTCCTCACCCAGAAATCTGACCCTTTTCCCTTAAGAATTATTTCAGATCTGGTCTGGGGGCATGTATTCTGTCCCAGGCGTCTGGGACACTGGAACCAGAGTTCTGAGCGAGAAAAGCCGATGACAAGGCAAGCGTCGTGAATTACTAACAGAGGTGTTGATGCTGGGGGCCTGGAGCATCCTTTGGGGACAGCTCGGTAGCTATCAGGTCTGGTAATTGTTCCCTTCGCTAGCGGAGCCCAGCTTGGTAGTGAAGAAGCTTTGGGTGCTTAATGCATCATGAGCGCTAGATTGCATCTCCGATGATTAAATTGAAGTGTTTGTGAGGGCGAATTAGGGAAGCGGGTGTCTCTCTTCAGATGTGACATCTGTGGGAAGAGGAGTGAGTTCCTGGCTGGAATGATTAGGCTTTTTTCTTATACCTCCTTAAAACTGTTTACTTGTAAATATATGTGGTTTCCCATTGCTTTGTGTGCGTCCCTACATTCAAACAGTGTTATTCTTATTTCAGGCTCCCTTACTGAACGGCCTCCTGGCTTTCCCCCATCCCCTTCTCTATCTACTTGAGTTAAATATATGTTTCAGGTTTTGCTCCAGGGCCTTCTTTCTCTAGCCACATCATGGCTTTGGGTACTAGTGTTCTTCAAAGTGTATCCCCTGGACTGGTGTTGGTCTGTAAATTGTTCCTTGCTGGTCTGTAATGAGAGAGAAGTACAGAAACTGAGAGTAACATTTAGAAACTTTCATAGCATGCCTTGGTATCCAAGCACATTAGTCAGTTGTACTTTGTATGTCTTATTTTATTTGTAAAGTAATTCATTTTTGTTGGATTTTATAGAAGTATTGGTCCATTATGCAGAAATATAAATTAAAAGAAAGTTTTTTTCAAAACAAAAGTTGAAAAAATTAAGTTTTATGGTTTGGGCAGCCCCAAACTCTGTATCACTCCCAGATTTATATCTTCAGTCCTGATCTCATGGAACACTTTTACGTTCTCAACTACCTTTATGGCTCCATTTGAAGAATAATTATACTGGTTAATATTTATTGAACCATTACTGTGTGTTAGGTTCTGATCTAAATGTTTTACATATGTTTCTTATTTTCTCTACAAGGTAGATGCTATTATTATGTTTAACAGACATCTCAGAAGCAGAACTGCGGATATCCACCCCCTCCAAACCTGTTCCTCTTCAAATTGTTCCACTCACTCTAGTCAAAATTTAGAAGTTATCTTTGTTTTGTCTCTCTTTTTTTTTTTTACCCCTCTTCTAATTAATTAGCAAGTCACCTTGTCTCAACCTCCAAAATGTATCCCCAGTTCATCCAAATCTCTCCCTCTCCATTGGCTATAACCATAGTCCAAGCTTCTATCATCTCTCACAGGAACTACCACAAAAGCCACCAATTAGTCTCTCTCCCACAACCCCAAAACAATACATTCTCTAAATGACAGCCGAGTGATCTTTTAAAAACATAATCACAGGGGCGCCTGGGTGGCTCAGTTGTTAAGCATCTGCCTTCGGCTCAGGTTGTGATCCCAGTACCCTGGGATGGAGCCCCGCATCTGGCTCTCTGCTCCCTCTCCCACTCCCCCCTGCTTGTGTTCCCTCTCTTGCTGTTTCTCTCTCTGTCAAATAAATAAATAAAATCTTTAAAAAAAAACAAAACCATAATCACATCAGGGCGCCTGCGTGGCTCAGTCCTTGGCTGTCAGACTCTTGATTTCAGCTCAGGTCTCCATTTCAGGGTTGTGAGATCAAGTCCTGTGTTGGGCTCCACGCTGGGTGTGGAGCGTACTTAAAAAAGAAATTTAAAAACAAAATCACATCATGTTATGCTGCTGCTTAAAGCTCTCCAACGAGTTTTCACTGTACTTTAAATACAACCTGTAATCCTTAGCACTGCCAAGAAGGTTCTACGTAATCTTGTCCCAACCTACTTTTCTTATACCATGTTCCCATAGACCATAGCTAAGTGTAGTGTAGCCACATCAGCCTATTTCTTTTACTTTCTTGAATAAATCTAGCTTACAGTACTTGAGTCCTCCGCCTGGAGGCCTCTGCCTCCAGATCTTTAGAGTAGGCTCCTTAAAATCCTACCCGTCTCTGTTTGGGTATCACCTACTCAGGCTTTACCTAACAACTCAATGTAATCTTCCCAGAGTTCTCTCTTGCATCCACTTGCTTGTTTTTCTTCCAAATACTTTTCACTGAGTCAGCTTGCATTCGTTTACTTGTTTATTATCTCCTTCTCCCCCTCTAGAATAAAGTATCTCAAGAGCTTTGCCTGCACTTTTCACTTTTATCTCTAGGGCTCAGAACAAGATTCGGCACACTGTATATACTCAGGATTTAGTGGATGAATTCATGATTGAATGAATAAATAACATACTTAGAAAAAGCATTCTTTATTTTTTTAAGCATTCTTTATTTTTTCTGATGCTTCTTCTTCTTGGGTTCTCATTGCTGCATATCAGAATCTGTTGTTTCCCAGAAGAGTGCAAATAGACTACATTGTTTCCTCTGCCCACTCTATCAAAGATGGCTCCTTGCAATGTCACACATTTATTTTGTTTGTTTGTTTGTTTTTTAAAGATTTTATTTATTTGAGAAAGAGAGACAGTGAGAGCGAGATCAGGAGCAGGGGTAAGTGTAGAGGGAAAAGCAGACTCCCCGCTGAACAGGGAGCCCGATACAGAACTCGATCCCAGGACCCTGGGATCATGACCTGAGCCAAAGGCAGACGCTTAACTGACTGAGCCACCCAGGTGGCTAGAGTCGTGTTCTTAGAACCAACTTTATGACAAGCATCATCAACAAAAAAAGATATCTTTTACTTCCATGGACTTCTCTAAACTGTAATAATGGCTGTTTGGGCTGTGTTTTGCCCCTATGACAGTTGGCTATTCTGTCCATAATTTACTTGCTGAAATCAAATGCAACTTCTTGGTGACTTTCTTTCACACTTAAAATATGTTGTGAAATGCTTTATGCATTAACTAGAATCTTCAATGACAGTGTTGTAAGAACTGGATGTATTACTTACACTGAGTGTTGAAGAGACGGGTGGAAGTGACCACAGCTTTAATGACCTTCACCTCATAGAGTTTGATCACTTGCAATCTATGTGTACATCTGGTCTTAGGAAATATTTGCAATAGCAATGCATCAAATAATGATTTGATGAGTAAGTCAATTCAATAAACTTTATTAATAATGTCTACCATATGCCTGGTATTATGTCTTCAAGTTTTTTGCAAAAAATGTAAATGTTATATAAAATTATTATATATGAGTCAGAAATGGATTTCAGTTCATTTTAGCCATGGAGATGCTTTCTCTTTGTACAGAATTTCGGAGCAACTTGGGCTTATCGTTATCAAGCAGCTGTGTGGTAACTATGAAGAGCAGTGTTTGATCATGATCATTTCCATACCATTACGAATGCATTTTCAAGTAGAATCTGGATACAGCAGCAGATTTTGGTATAATGGCTTCATAGTAAGGCAGACAGGAGATTTGTAGGCAAGATATTTGCGGACAGAAAATATTGGAAAAGGACAGAGTATCAAAATGTTTACAGTACATTTACTCATAATTAGGGGTCTTTTTCATCATTAGGAAACCTGAAATCTACCTCAGTAGAGTTTGGTAACATTGGAAGGTTATTTCAGGAAGAAATTATGTAACATCTTTACATTTCATTTTCTCTTTTCCCACATGTTCATTTTTTAAAAAGCAACAATTTTTACCTTTGAAAAGCAGAGGGAAAGGGAAGAAATTTGCTTCAATCTAGGAAAGTCTGACTGCTCTGTCTAGGCAAACTTCTCCGGAGGGGAGCCAGAAAGATAGTTAAAATATGACTGCTTAAACACAATTTTTTCTTTACTTTTGGTAAACAGAACTTTCCATGTTTCTTCAATTGGTTTTAATCAAACCTTAGAGACAGATTCTTCTCAGGGAACTGATTTAGACGTAAACAGTCTGATTCTCAGATAAAATGAGATATAATTAGAGTTTCACATTTTATATGTACATTTTTATAAATCATGAGTTATTAATGTTTCTTTTTGTTAATTGTTTAACTTACCAGTATTAAAAGGCTCAATATTATTCTGTTAGAAAGGCATTAGTACATTTATACCATAATTGCATGAGTCCATGGAAGAAGATATAAAGACCTTCATGTGATTTTTATCAGTTATGCTCAGTTTTGTACATCATAAATTCCTGCAGTGGCTCAACAATATCGACTCGAGTCGCAGTTACCCCAAGTACTTTATAAAAGTGCTCATTTGATGGCTATGCATATTTACGTTCTGTTTGGTGAATAATGTTGGACAACAGTATTCTGCTCCTCCGTGGAAAAATAGTAAAATGTTTATCTCAGCTAGAGAACATGATGATGTTCAATTATTACAGTCAGATTCTTTGTGGATGGAGAAAAATTCCAGAGTTTAGCGGTCTATGTTATATTATCTTGAGATTTTTGAAGGTT